AACCCCCCCCCCCCCCCACTGGAGAAGGAGGATATATTTCCCCCCTCAAACAACTGAGTTCTCTCGGTCTTCTTGTATATTCTTATAATTTATTTCATAGCTAGCTGAAGTGGAGACCGAAAAGAGAGCACGTTCGAGGGGTAACTGGGGCCCCCTTGGGGCCCCACACTGATATGCATGGCTACCGCAGACAGTCTACTGTATCTTCTGCCTTCGCTGCTATAATTCTAAGCTTTCAAATAAGTCTTAACACAAATTATTGAAGGTGCAGCAGAAACGGGGGAGAAGTGCAAAGAAGAAGGAAACGAATTCTGCAGCACCAAGCACCAGGGTTCACGCTTCCACTATTGTGCTTGAGAAGTGGTTCTTGACTTTAACAATGCACGTTTGAATCGGATATTGATGTGTTTGTTTCTCTATTCTCAAGAATGGACAGCCTTGAGGCGGTATGTTGGGAGGATCCCACCTCCGGGTTTGTCCGCGTGCAACAGGGGCCCGAGCGCCGTCAAAAGAGTTTTAGCCTCCTCTCCTACCTCTAGGTGACATAGGGGCAGCAACAGCGTTGGGCTTGTTGTGTGTAAAGGAAGCAAAGATATATTTTTGCATGAACTGCAGCACATATTGCTGCAGCCTGCGTTCCTTGGCGACTACGCACGCAGGCACAGCACGCAGTACCCTCTATACAGCATGAGGCAATACCATATACAGCCGTTCCACATATCTTTGGCCCTCACCAGGCAGCCTGCGCACGAGTAACATTATGCGTAATATCAGCGTCAGAAAGCCAGTGCTGGAGGAACGGAGGCCTGCAACTACAACACTTCAGCGGGCTGCGTCATCCTCAAGTCTCCAAAGTTCTCTGACTGCTAACCTCCCACGATTTGAGCCCAGAAGTTCAAAGCCTAAGGCCTGTAAAGGGCACCGAACAGCAGGTTTTAGAGCTACTCAGGAAAACCAGGGTGGGTGCCGCTGGAGCACTGAGAATTGGCAAATAAGCATCATCAATCCAGCTGTTACAGGCATCACAACTCGAAGCAGCTAGACGGAAGGGCCAGTCTTGCGTGCCGCTTCTCCTTCAGCTTGTCAGCTGCAGCGGAAGCTGCTTCGGCACCCGGAGGTGTGGGGATTCAGTGTAGCGAGACAAGCGTGCACACATTCTCCGGGTCCCGTGGCTAGCGAGGGCCTTTCAACATTCACTATGCGGCAGCATAAATAAATGAGTTCCTCCTGCCTGTGGCCGGCGGGCACAAACAGGGGCACCTAAATGTGGCCAACCGCTGAAGCCTGATGTCTGTAGCTTCTACAAGAAGCTTACCAGCAACAAGCACAAGGAAGAGATGAAGTATTCCCCTCATCACCAGCGGCAAGACTTGCATGCAGTTGAAAAGGAGACGTGTAACCTGTGGGGCCGCTTATGTGAGCACTTAGGTCCTACAAACTCAACTGAATTGACTAAACAAGCGGCGAGGAAATTCTACGTGGAAATAAAAGCGTAACCTGTTGCTGCATGCGGGTTCAGCACCCCGTTGTTGCTCTGAGTTCGAGTCTCCTGAATCAATGAAACAAGGCCCGAGGGGCCTTCATGCAGTTGCCTCTCGGTTAAGAGACAGCCGCAAAGAACCCCAACACACGCACATGGGGTCGATAACTCCCCCAGCAAGATGTAAAATCGCACAGGCTGCACCTGCACCACGGGCCTACTGCGTAACCCCCCAAAACACACACAGCGGCTGGCCCGCGTGCAATATGTCCGAACGCTACTGTGCATCCACAGCAGCAACACGAACAACAGTAGCAAGCAGCAGCTGCTGTGAGACATGCAACAGCATGTGCAGCATCTGCTGCAGCCGCCATAGCAGCAGTAGCACTGTGCCGGTACACACCGGTTGCTAATCTGAGCAGCAATCAGTATTCCTTATTGATGACGAGCGGCTTGTCCGAGAAGGTCGTGGGCGTGTCTATCTTTATCAGGCAGCAGACACCAATACAACTCCCGAGAAACAATACCAGCATAATCAACAGCTGGGCCAACAGGTTCTGACATATCCACGCACAACAGCACACACAGCCCTGTTTTTCATGCACCTCGGAACACACTATCCTCCTCCATTTACACGCCATAGAGTTGTCTGCCGGCCATATGCTGCCCTACTGGCGCAGCACCACCAGCTTCAGCACGAGCAGCAGCAGCAGCAGTGCTGCTGCAGTCACCCTTGGGGCCACAGCTTTGAATAGTTACTGCTGACATGGGCACAGAACCACGCGGTGAAAGAGACACGGATTATCAACATGCTTCGACCGTGGCATTCGCTTCATAGACTTCAGCGGGGGAAGCGGGGGAACTGTCTGAGGGGCATCACAGCAGCAGCTATTGCATTGAATTTCCTACTCCTCCTACACTGTCTGTGCACCAATAGTGCGGTACTTACCGCTGTAATGTAGTTGAAAGGAGAGGACTGCGAGGATTGCTCTTCGCTTGTTGCTGCCCTTGCGCACGCAGCCGCTGTGATGACCAGCAGCAGCGCCAGTAGCGCTCTAAGGCTTTTCATGGTGGAAAGATGTTCGCCTTCACGGGAAGCAGGGCAAATAAAATATTTAGTTCCTCAATTCCCCTCGATCTGGCTCAATAAGGGGCCGCTTTTGATTCCTCGAGAAGCATCGGTCTGTTTCCGTGGTGTGTACGGGCTTGAAAAACTTCTGACGACGCACTTTAATTATTTCTTTGTTCATGCCGAAGAACTGGCCCTGCATAAGCGATAGTAAGGTGTTTTAAAACGTGTTTCATGAAAGAGTTTCGCTACAACTCAACTATAGCCCCAGGGCCCTGTTTGATTCAGTTCGGCCGTTTGGGTCTGCATGAGCCCTTCGAGAAAATTCCTCTTGCTGGGGTTAGAAGAATTTTCTCGCCTTCAATTTTTGTGCTTCATCATGGCGAAGGCGATAATTTGGTGCCATTTTGCCGTCTTGTAGCTGTGGCATTACTCGCGGCGTCATTCAGGAAGCCTAGCACAGCTCGGCAACTCCACCCACCCACTCCTCCGTGAGCTTCTTGATCGCATGTGGAGAGTTTTAGCGTAATCAGCAGCAGAAGCAATTTTTGGGAGGTTTGAAAATCTCATGAAGAGATACAGGTGGCGCCGAATTTGCTGCTTTGTGCAGCCTTCACTGTTAGGATTGGACATGGCTGCAGCCGGAATAGTATCGACACAGACACACATACGAAAGGAGACAAGCAAATAAGTACAAGAGAGGGATATCTTTATTGCATAAACGAGTTAAACGATTGCTACCGCCCACACAGACAAATAGTCCACCCGGGAGTTCGGGGGGTGGGGGCTGCTCTGCTGGCGCATTTCGAACGTTAACACAAGCCTCTCCAGACAAACGCAGCAGCACCAGCAGCAGCATGTGTGAAAGAGGTGTGTGGCAGCTGCAGCAGGTACTCCTGCGGTACAGCGAAACCGGCTACAGTAGCAGTGGCGTGCGTTTCTACCTGAAGCATTTGTTGCCTAGTTGGGTACAGCGAAATCCACAGGTCCGTGGCTGCACACTTTCTACGGGGTTTCCACTGTAGTTGAAGTTTGCAATCACTCCGTGTTTGGGGATGCTCTGTTGAGGTGTATATGTAGATCTGTGGTATGTAAGATCGGATGCCCAGCAATTGAATTGAGTGTTTGTGCGTCCAGTTTGTGATTTGGGTGCATCCGCAACAGGCATGAGCTTTACACTTGCGAGATTTCGGTGAAGCTATACGCAAGTATTACCACTACTGCTCTGTCTCTGCTGCAGGTGGAGGTGGTGCTGCAGCAAGACAAGTTCGAGCAGCCACGGGCAACATTTGTGTTCAAGTCTGGAGCCCGTTCGGAAACGCCTTTGGCAAATTTGCAGCCGCGGCAGCTAGAGGAACTGCTGCAACTACACAGGGACAGTTCGGGGCCGAACCACTTCCTCAAACACGGAGGCCCCAAAGTTTGGACAGAGAGGCGCTCTATACAGGTGAGAACACGTGGCGCTGTGGTGCAGGTATTTTGTTTTAGTTGTGCTACAAGTTTCTGATGCATACGCGTTGCACGAACCAAAAATGAGGAGGGAGTCTTGCGCTTCCTTGTGTCGTGTGTCTACTAGTGGTAAGTGGCGACTTACAGGAAAGTGGTGGTGCGATCTAGGCACCGCATGTGTTTGCATTCATGGAATTGTAGATCACCGTCTGATGACTGGAACCCCCCCCAAAAAAAGAGAACACCATATAATCACGATAGAGGCTTTAGATGGAAAGACAGGAGGCGAACAACGGATGCTTCAGTACATTGGGCTTCCCACTCCATTCATCCCGCCTTTTTCGCATATTTGTTTTCGTATAAGCGTTCTAGTCTGTGTAGGCCAATATTATACTTCTTTCTTCATTTGTATGTTGACATTTTAGTTTGCCTCTTTAGGTGCTTTCCTCTTTTGTTTCGTTGAGTGCGTACATTAGCATATCTAGGGGCGCATGTCTTCTGCTTTTTTTTTTAATCCCTTCAGGGTTTATGGCGGCCGTCGTTGCCCTCCCAGTTGTTGGCCTTGCGTTGGTTCCGGAGGAAGCGGCCTCCCCTACGTCTCCCCAAGTACTCCTCTGAGAGCCTTCGACTGTCTCTGCAGGCGATTCGGGGAGGAGGCCGGTGGGGATCGGAAAGAGAGTTCCCTAAGGGCTGGGATCAACTCTCACTCAAATATGCACACTTCCAACCTCTCATGAGAGAACCCGTTTTGCCCGAACTGCAGCAATGGCAGTTGAACGAAAAGCAGCAGCCGCAGTAGTTCTGCATTACCAGCACCCACTGATGAAGAGGCGCTTACTTCCCATCGCTCTAGATCGCTTCCCAGCACCTCCTCCCGTATATAGTGCACCGACAGGTCGTGCGTGCACCAAGGTGCCTTCGAAAACTCAGTAGCTTCAGTAGGCATATGTTTCTGGAAAGTTTTTTATAAGCATCAACATTACTTTTACATAATATGGGTTTTTTTTTGATCGTCTTCGAGAGTCTCTGCTGTTATCCCGTCGCACAGGAAGCCCCATGATATAACGGAAGTCCCCCTACACTGCATGTAAACAGAAACGCCTTGTTTTAAGAGCGCACAGCAACTGAGGCAAAGGCTGCAGTCGCCTTAGGGCCACCCCAATCTCCGCGAAGGCAACCGGCTTTTGGTTGCGATTTCGGTGCAAAGCCGGTCGAAGGGTAAAGGAACATTTCTGCAGTGCAACTCGTTGCTGATCCCGCAATGACGTATCGTATCATTCGTTTGCCTGTCCGCCTCCTTGACTCAGCATCATATAACAGACCAATGCATCGGGGAGTTTTGATGCTGTAGTTCCACAGCAATTGCGAGAATATATATCGGCTCAAGCTAGAGTGGAGGCCAGCACAGATTAGTTCCACAGGCCCAGCCAAAGCAATAATACCCTGCCCATCCCTTTGCAGGCAGACAATGCATAAGCACGTCAACGTAATGTGTAGCCTACATAGCCACGAAATTTAAAGCCAAGGAGGGGCAACTAGGCGTTATACAAGGGTCCTTGCGTGACCCAACAGGGGTCATTGGAAACCATCAGGAACTCCAAGGGGCATAGGATGCGTGCAGGGCCCGGATGCCTCAAGATTGTGTCTAGGGCTGTCGAAGTTGCTCAAGGGCCCCCAGAGACCCCCTAGGACAATTCGGGCCCTGCGCAGTAACGAGGTGAGCGTTGTGGAAGGTGCAGCCGCCTAGAGGATCTCGAGCTGCTTGTTGGCCCAGCCATAGAGACCTTTGTAAGTGTCAAAAATGCGTCTAACTTCTGCCACGAATATTTTGTGGGCAGCAGCAATTTCCTGTCGAGATGCAGAGAAAAGGGAGAGCATACGCAGGGAGAAAATTCGTCCGATGAGGAACGCTACAGTCATAATACCTACGATAATAATGGTGATATTAACAGCAGCACTACTAAAAAGTTTGTCAGGAGGGGAGAGAGACAGGGGAGGACGGCCGTAAGACAAACCCCGTATGTGGGTTTGTCAACTTGAGGCATTTGCAGGGGACGTCCAACGGCATAGAGCATCGGCACACGAAAGGCCACAGGGAGGCCAAAGCGGCCATAGAAGGAAACAAATGCGATCCTTAAGAGCCTACGGCAAACCCACCAAGGAACTTTGTCAACACAGCCCGCAATTTGCTTTTTTCTGTATTTCCGTGTCATGAATGAGTGTTAAAATTACGGGCACACCCCTGAACTCTTCCATGTGCATATACAGGTCCACATGTAGCACAGTAGCGGCATAATCAAGGGATCGTTTGTAGGTTGCACTTCTCTGAGAAGTCTGTTGCCTACCTTGCAAACGGCTGCAAGAAGCGGACGCCCCAAGGCAAGCGGAAAGCCTGGCTGTTTCCAAAGCAGTAGACGGGAACAAGTTTGGCACCCGTTTGCATCGCCAGCCGCACAACACCAAGGCGGTCTTGCAGGTGGAGGCGTTCCTGTTTGTTGCACAGAGGAATCGGCCACGGCTATTTCGTTCATTTCTTCGTATATCAAAGCTGTACGCTTTGATGACGTTCAGATGCACTGGCTTCTCGAGAGGTGAAGGTGTGGACTACCTCTTCCTTATTGTGGTCCGTCGTTGTACAGTACTAAGCACCAATAATACCGACTACTCGTGAAAGCATGAAAACTTCAATTTAGCTGGAAAACTGCCAAGATTCGCTTGGGCATACCTCAGAAGAATTCGTTTCGTAGATTTCTGCAATACCGCCGGGTGAGACGAGAAGACTAGAGCCTTTCTCGAGGTTAGCCTTCATTGAATTTCTAAAAATGCAGAAAATAGAGAGAAAATGACATGTCAACACTGCACTACGTATGAATCAACTGCCAGGACAGCCGCTTGTGCACCTTCGGTAGAACTCCTACGTACTTGTCTGCTGGAATTGCATCGGATAAGAAGATCAGTTGGCCATATATTAAGCACCAACGAACTACGGAGGCCGCTGTCAGGCGGAAATGGCCCAAGATATCCCCAAAATTCCCGGTCGCCATCACTGCCTGCAGAAGGAAAAAACAGATAAGCGAAAGCGAACGGCTTCTCCCATCGGGAGCTCACAGCAGACAACCGGAAAATTATCGCCAAAAAGAGCTTCACTAATGCACAGAGGACTGAACACGGAACATAAAATTCGATTATAACAGTCCACTCTATCATCGTACCAAACCAAAATAGACACGGGGTCAAGTAACAGACTTTCTCAGACCACCGAGAGAACGACGGCAGGCTTGAGGCTCGTCCGTTTGGTTGTTTAGGCGATTAGCATTTCATTAAACAAATTAGTGGGCGGGTCTTGGCTGTCTATTACTGCTGCTAATTGTTAAGCTGCGGTGTGTCAACTAGCTCTTGCCGGAGCAGTAGGGACGACGCCGTGAGGGAAGATCGTAAAGATGGTGGGCTCTCTTGGGGGGAACTGTTCAGATGCCTCGACAATTGCAGCAGTGCGGTGGTAGCGGTGGATGTTATGCCAGCCATGCCATTTCCGTAGTTGTGGTTTGGGCCGAATGGGAAAGAGAAAAAGCGAGAGTACAACAACTGCAAAAATGATCTTACGACGTCGAGTTCTGCAGTAACGCCGCCAAATCCAAACGAGTAGCACTGGCACCCAAATTAAAGAACCTTGAACTAGCAGCTGCATCAGCAAGCAACGAACGTCAGCCCATACGGTCAACTCGTCCTTGGGGTGTATGCCTGGCACGTGCCTCCAAGGCAGCACTCGGTTTTTCTCTCCCCAGCCACAGGCCACGCAGCTGTTGCTGCCGTCTGCAGGAGCATTTGTGGCCCTGTAGCGCAGGTTAGAGAAAACTGGAACAGAAGAAGAGAAGACCTCGGATGGGGTCGTCTGTGCCGGAGGACCGCAATGGCGGGGCAAATAAAGCGGGAGAAAATCGGCATCTATCACCACAGGGTACTTCAGGGGCCAGAAACGGTGCAGGGGATGGCGCAAATTCTGGCTGAGTTTCTTTACAGCAGCCACATGTTTTAGTCGCAGCTCTAAAAAGGAGAAGTCTTCTCCTGGAAAGGAAGTACATGCGGAGTTAGTTGGGCTGCTGCTTGTTTTCCTTCGACCGATTTCCTCTAAACTGAAGTGACCGTGGCGACGGCGGGATGTCAGGATGCGCCCCACTTGAGCCCTTTCACTCTTCCCAGGTTCTCCCATCGCTTTTAAATCCTTACAAGTAAATAACAATTCAAGCAAAGAGCTCTTTTTTGAGTTTTCCGTGGTGAGGCTTGATGGGGGTCACCGCAGGCACTGCACAAAGAGGCGGGTGCGTTGACAATGGAGCTGAGGGTCAGCAAATAAAGAGCCGAGGCAAAAACCGATTCACAAATTGTTGACTTTTCCCTACAAAACGAATTCTCTGTGGGATGTACTAGAGTAGAATACAACGCCAATCGTGGAGTTGAGCGCAGGCGGGGGGAATTCGCCCCACGAAACGTGCGTTACGTAGGGTGGGAGCAACCTGTAAGGGCATTCAGAAGAGGCAAACTCAGTGGTAGCCATCTAAACAGATGAATTACTTTTATAGTTATTCAGTTGATTATTAGAATTCAGCCATCCCACGCATGACAAAATATGCAGCTCTCATGTACTCGCAGCGGCATGCGTGGCCATCCACCACCGCCTACCATGCTGCGACGGCATCTACCATATTTTCTCGCCTTCAAACTGTATATATTACTACAAACACTGTCGAAATATTATGAAGATATTTGATGGAGAGAATGACGCCGTCATGGCAATCTCGGCAAATCAAGAACCATCGGTCTCAGACCGGACCGGACCTGGCTGTGGAGATCTGAAACGCCACGGAATATGGGTACACATGCCATTTGTAGGAATATAACCATTTTTTGGACATATTTTATAATCGATACATATGGGTATACGGAGTAAAGGGGCATTTAGATCGAGGTTCTGAGACAAGGCTCCGGGAGTGCTCCAACCCGCGTTGCTTGTATGATAAAAGGAGATGCATGAAAACCAGTAAATGCCTCTACTTTATCGTTTTTCTAAAATAGACTCTAAGACTTGGATAAATCAGTTCGTCGAGCTATTCATTGGAGGGGGAACAAATGGCCGAGGACCAAAAGAGCGTGTGAACGTCTATGTCCGACGATGTGCATGCACGTGCTTGCATCTGCAGGCATGAATTTGTGTATATATGTGAAATTATATATCGATAGGTGGAAGGTCAGCACCACGAACTTATAGCGGCTTGCTCGCGTCCATGAATGCTGCTGAATTCATGCGGGTACTCGACACAATTGGTTGAACTCATGGCGACGAGGTGAACAAAGTCGTTAACAGTGCACAAAATAGTCCAATTAATTTCCTCAAGGAGAGCAAGCTTACAAGGGATCTCAACTTGGTCGCAAACAAAGGTACAGCTAGCCCCTGACGGAGCTGTGCGCTTACACTCGTACAAATCGCAGTATATCTAGCTATATTTTTATTTGCTAGACAATTAACGCTCGTCCTAGCCATTGCAGATTACATCAGCAACCAGCATTCTATTATTAACCGTGGACTGATGCAACATAGAAACAGGTAGAGAAACAGAACAAATCCACCACATTTGAAGTGTCCCAGCCAACGAAATACAGCGACAGCGCTGAAGTAAAGGCATTACAAGCAGGATATGTTCTAGGTCACTTAAGCACCCTTCGATGCTCTCAATTCGCATTTTTTGTTGGATTGGGCAAAAGAAACAGCCGGTTGATCCAGGCGGACGGATGGCACTTGGTCGTGCTGTCTTGTTGCTCGGTGCGGATATCAGCATATGTGCATTTTAGGTTCATCGATTTCGTTCTGAGATCTGCTATGCATTTAAGGAGAAACAGCAACTCATCAACTATAATGAGAATCACTTTTCTGCTGCCTCCCAGATCCCTACCCTAAGGAGACGTCCATACATCGGAACTCCCCTGGAATACTACATTCGAGAAAAGAGCAAATTCGCACGACCTTTCGGCATGGGCCGAAAGCCCATGCGAGTTTGCCATGTTTGGGAGATACAAACGGTTTTGGGGAGTGCAGGCGCACACAGAAATTGGAACTATTCTCTATGCAAACTCTCGCTCTTCTCGAGTCGCCGTAAATACTCCTACTGGCGCAACTACGCGGTTGTCTCTGCTCAAACTCCTGGCAGCCTCAGCATGCCTAGGTAAGTGTCTATGCACATTTGCGTGCGTACTTGCAACCTAATGCAAATTCCATTGTACGTGCGCTGCGTCTTCTCCACATACTTCTCCCGTCTGGCGCTGCTGTGCACCGCAGGGGGTGGGATCAACTGGCTCCACCAGCTAACCCCATAACCTGTGAGGAGAGTCCGCTGCAGAAAAATGAAAACTTAGGCTGCAGGTATCGTGAAATGGACCTACAGTGTACAGAGAGCCGAGCCAGTTGACCAGCGGCGGTCGGTTGGTTTGCGCAGCGGCAACAGCAGCAGCAGCAGCCAGCTGTAGGTAGCAGCAGAAAAGGAGGGCATCAACCGGAGCTGCGCTGGATTAAATTAAGCGTATTAAAAAGATAAAAGGCATTTAATTTATGAATTCTCTTGGGGGAGAAAAGAACAGAACGCACAGTCATCGTCTAGCTTCGGCTGCAGCAGCAGAAGGTTGCGGCTGCGGCTGTCCGCTGCAGCAGCCACACAACGGCTGAGGACTCCGTGCCTTATCTTGCATTTAGGAGTGAACATCGCCGGTTTATTACATCACTTCTTCAAAGTTAAACATAGAAATTTGGGGGAATTACTTCTGTCTTTACCCGTAATCTCAAGCAGCAGCTCCTCTCCAGTGTCGCTGCCGCTCCTGTGCACTGCCGAGGCCACTCAGCTGCCTGCCGCCTCTGCCGCCTCTGGCGCTGTTCCTTCGAGTCTTTCTCTTCTTCTTTTGCAACTGCAAGCAGAACAGATAACTCTAATGACACGCGCAAAAGCCCCTGAGAAGCAGACAAACGAAGAAGCCACCGACGCACTGCCGCTGCTGTGACGACGGCAGCAGCGGCCAACGCAGCAGCCACCGCAGGCTCGGGGGCCCCACAACAACCAACAAAGACACCTGCAGCAAAGCGCACGGCACATGCAACGTTTGCAGGGAGAGCGACCCTTCAGCTGCTACCGCTGCCGCTGCTGCTGGTGCTGCCGCTGCTCCTGGTGAACGGCGGCTGAGCTGCTGCGGCTGCACTACGGCCTCCTCGTCGCAGCCTCACTCCCAAACAGCTAAAGGAGCCGATCACCTCTCTGCTTGGCCCGTGTAGAGTCCAGCCGCTTTGGCCAGAGCAGCAGCAGCTGCTGCAGCTGCAGCGGCGGAAAATCAACACTCCCTCCACCCGCCGCAGCACCTGAGGTGCCTCCGCGGCGTCATTTGAAAATGATTGAAGATGTGGACAAGCATGTCCTCCGCAAGTATGATATCGTCCAGAAACTCGGAAAGGGGGTGAGCTCTCGGGCTGTGCAGACAACTTCGTTGGGTAACTGCCCAAGCTGCACCTGAACCCCGTCACGGCAGAGTAGGACCTTCAGCGGCATTGCAGCTGCCTTCTCTTCATTTTTCCGAGGCGAAACAGCGATGGTGCTTTGTAGTGACTGCATTCTACATTTACCTTTGTTGCGTTTGTCGCGAACATCGCTGATCATTTATTCTGGTGCCAGTTTACTCATAGCACTTCTCGTGCTTTCTGGCCGATGGGTTCTGCTCCTTGCATGCGTCTCGTGCACTTTTAGGCGTACGGAGTAGTCTGGAAGAGCTACGATCGGCGGACGAATGAAGTGGTGGCACTGAAGAAAATCTTCGAGGCGTTTCACAATGCGACGGACGCGCAGCGGACTTTTCGCGAGATAATGTTTTTGCAGCAGCTTGCAGGGCACGATAACATCGTGCGGCTGATGAATGTGCTCAAGGCTGACAACGACAGAGACATTTACCTGGTGTTCGACTTCATGGGTGAGGACAGCAGACACAACCGTGCTAATCCGTTGCAGGGTACACACAATACGCTGTATGCATATCCCACGGCAAAACAGACGAAGTGGAGTCTGAACACGGTTGCACTGCTTTCGTTTTCACTTTTTCAACACAGCTGGTGGGCGCGTTGGTAGGGGGCAAAGCATTGGTTTGTGGGTACGGTGTACGCACACATCCATCGCGACACTGGATCCTTTTCGCTTGTATTTGTGTGTTTTCTTGCTTGTTTGGGTGTGTTTTAGAAACTGACTTGCATGCGGTAATCCGCGCCCAGATACTGGAGGCAATTCACAAGCAGTACATCGTCTACCAGCTCCTACGGGCAATCAAGTACATGCACTCAGGTACACTAGTGTGATCTGTCGTTTGCATCACGCCTCTGCCGGCTGCCTCTTTTTGGGGGGTTGCCGTCTCCTCACGTCCCTCCTCCTGTCCAATTGCTGTCCAGTCCACCGCTCCCTCGGGTTTTATGCAAGGTTCTTCCTGTTGCGTCTGCATGCGCCTTAGGGGAGCTGCTGCACAGAGACATGAAGCCTTCCAACATCCTCCTCAACAGCGAATGCCACGTCAAGGTCGCAGACTTTGGGTGAGATCAGCCCCCGCATGCAGCAATTTATTTATACTTCTGATGTTCCAGATGCTAATCAGTACGATTGTTGCAAGTCTTTCTATGAGCACGATTGTTGTAAATACTATAACAATTGTGCATTAGTGTTGTATAAACGAGGGTCCCTCCAGTTGCGTCCCTGCGTGGCCAGCCAGCTGGTCCGCAAAGGGAGGAGGAGTCATTCTCATCTCTTGAGAAAGGTTTGAATGGCGGAGAAGAGCTCAGGAGGTCGAGCACAGCTGACAAGGGTGGAGGATTTCGGACTTAAGGTTTGTGATGCGCCACAGGCTTGCACGCTCGGTGGCTCACTCGGAGGGGGGAGAGGCGAACAGCAACCCGGTGCTCACAGACTACGTGGCGACGCGATGGTACCGAGCCCCTGAGATTTTGTTGGGGTCGACTTGCTACACCAAGGGGGTCGACATGTGGTCATTAGGGTGTATTCTCGGCGAGCTTCTTTCTGGGAAACCCATTTTCCCAGGTACCGATTTACCCTGATCGCTGATCCTTGCAAGCAGTCGCCAGCATCCGTTGCAATCAGAAATTGCGGTCGGCTCAGGCTTGGTGTGGTGTATACACACTTCATCGCCCGCTGGCTGCTGGAGCCGTGCTTGGGTTGTTGCAGGCTCATCCACCTTAAACCAACTCGAGAGAGTTGTGGCCGTCACTGGGTGGCCTTCTCCTGAGGACGTTGCGGCCATTCGCAGTCCTTTCGCCGCTACGATGATGGAAAGCTTGCCTGTTGTCAAGCAAAAGTAAGTCTTTATGCCTGGCGGAGTCCTGCCGCCGCCGGTGCAGCTGGTGGTGCTGCCAGGACTGCTTCTGGAACGGCCATTCGTGTTGCCTCAGATGCTTCAAGTGCTGCTGCAGCGGCTTCTTGTGGTAGTTAGTTTCGTCGGCGTCTGCCTGTGTGTGCCTTGGATCTCTGGATTCATATATCTGTATCAGCGCTAAGCTTATTCTTTCTTCTCAACCTTGTGGCCTTTTCTTATTTATGGGCCTGCTGTTTTGCACCATTTATTACTCCTTGCATTTGAATTGCTTCTTGTGATTTCCCTCCTTAGGAAGCTGGAGGACTGCTTCCCAGACGCTCCCCCGATGGCGCTCGACCTCCTCAAGCAGCTGCTGCAGTTCAACCCTCGGAAACGCATAAGGTAGGTTAGCGGTTTGGCTTTGTCATCTGCAATACTGGTGTTGGTCTTCTAGTGCAGCAGCGCGTGCACTTCGTATGTTTCTGTCTCCTTGTTTTTTCCCGTATCTCTGTTTCTGTTGGTTGCGTGCCCTTCCTTATTTCTTTTCTTGTTTCTTGACTCCCTGTTCCACCCTTGGCTGCCTTACTTTACGGCACGCCTTTGTTTGTACCTGCCTTTTGCCGGTGGAAGTTCTCACAGTGGGTATCTTCACATCCTTTTGCTGCTCGTGCTATTGCAGCGGTCGGTGGATGCATTATTGTTGCTCCTTGTCTCACGTGTGTAAATTTGAACCAAAGCGCTTCTGTTTTCGCTCCGATTGTGTGTATGTACAGCGCAGAGAAGGCGTTAGAGCACCCTTACGTCCGCCAATTCCACAACCCGGAAGACGAGCCGGTTTGCGGCCACATTATTACAATTCCAATTGATGACAACACGAAGTGAGGCACCAAAGTCCAGCTGCTGCCACGTAGCTGAAGAACCTCATTTTGGTTCAATACTTGCTGCAGCTCCTGAACGAGTAGCTGGCGCAGCACCCGCAACAACAGGAGAAACGGAGACAGTAGAATCGCCTTATTGTGCTTTGTGGGGGTAGTACTTCAAGCTGCTGGTTTGGGTCGACAGAAGTTGTTGCTTGCTCCGTGTTGGAATGTACGTACACTTCAGGTATTCAGTGGAAGACTACCGCGAGAAGGTTTACCAGGAGGTCATCAAGAAGAAACGGGAGACGCGGCGTCACAGACACATACACGTGGCGCCGTCTCAGCCTGCCGCACCGGAAGGTGCTGCTCCTTCCAGCAGTAGCAGCAGCAGCAGCAGCAGCAGTCGGGGTGTCGAGGGGGCTTCTAGGGGCAGTGCCCACCACAGCGCCTCTCGCCAGTCAGCTGCCTACCAGCAGCCTTCGGCTGCTCCAGCCGCTACATATTCTCAGGAAAGCAGCAGCTACACTTACTCGCAGCAGCAGCAGCAGCAGCAGCAGCAGCCACAGCGGACGGGTGTAGCAGCGGCCTCATACGCTCCCTCTAGCGGCCCCCCCGCTGCAGTGTATGCGCAGCAGCAGCACGTGGCGTACGGGGCCCCAGTCCCCGGGCGTGATGCTGTTGCTTCGCAAAGCATTCCCTCTAGCCAGGCCCCCCGCGATCCGCACCGTGTTTCTGGGTCGATGTACCCTTCCTATCCTGCTGCAGCAACAAGTGCAGCAACAGCAGCACCGGCAGCAGCCGCTGCTGCTCCCACGGGTTCTGCAGCGGCTATGTACAGCTCAAGCGCTGCAGGGGCCCCCGCCTCCAGCGCTGTGTACGCACGCTATGGCTGTGGGGCTGGCAGTGGTAACACCGGCAGCAGCAGCAGCAGCAGCAACAACAGGTGCAGCAGCAATTCTGTATTGAAGCAGAGGAGTGGAGGTGGTGACCGCAGCGACGGCAACGCAGAAGGCAGGCAGCAGGTGCGTATGGATATACACAGCATTTCTTGCTCTCAGTTCATCTGAACAGGTTTTTGCAGCTTTGCACTGTACAAGCTGTAAGGCGGCGTGCATGCATTGAGCAGAGACACGTGCGGCACGTTGTCCTTATAAAGCCTTGGAGTATATTTGCTGACATGCAAGTATTCATGGAATTCTGCTCGTAGTTAAGCCTCACGTGCATATGCTGCTGAAGCAGTCTGTATACGGGAAGAAATGCCTTGTGGTGTCTATGGCTTGTCTTTAGTTTTGAGAAGACACGAAGAAGAAAGGACGAGAAAACTACAAGGGAGCTGGAGAGCGAAAAAATGAAAAAGGGGGAAAGACGCTCTAGAGAAGAAGACGAACGGGAGATATGTGACTCCGAAGAGAGGTAGAGCGGCAGGGACTCGCACCCAAGGAGAAAGAGAGAACACAAAGGACGGACATAAAATTGCGCCTGTCTATAATAGCAAAGCCCAAGCTCTCTGGCGCTCAATGGCCCAGATTGGCACGAACAACAGTTCAGCAGCGCATGCAGAAACTGCAGCGGCAGCAGCAGAAACGGCAGCGTTGTTTGTGGTGTTTGTATCGGCGTGTGTGTAGTGTCCTCCTGTTCGTCTCATCGGTGAGTCGGTTGTTTGTGTCTCCTTCCATTTGAGGTGTGAGAGGATAGAGGAAAGGATGAGGAGAGGGGAACGAAACGGTTTCGTGCGGCTAGCTGTCTGTCTGCCTTTGCCGTGCTATATCTGTCTGTCGCCTTCTTTTGCTTGTATCGTCCTCGCCGTCCGCGTTTTTATTGTTTCTACTTTGTCCTTTGGTCTAACGGCCGCCATGTAGCTCTGTGCTGCTGCTGCCGCGCGTGTGCAGCAGCGCATGCCAGTGGCTGCACCAACAGCAGTAGCAACAGCAGCAACAGGGGGGCTGAATTCCTTCAGCTGGCGAGCGTATCTCCGCCCTTGCTACGGTGTGTAGTCTGCGGTGTAGATACACCGGAAGATTTGCGGATGAGGAGGCTTGAGGAAGACAAATAATAGCTGGGGAGTTTTGAGGGCTTTGCAAATAGGATTTACTAGTTTATTAGAGTGAGCTCAGCGCTCCTGGGGTCTCCGAGGGAGGCGTGGAGGTTTGGAGGCCGAGACAGAAATTGGGTTTGCTGTTTATATATCTGGGTCGTCTTAGTGGGAGGCAGCAGGCCCGGCTGTTTGTTTCCCGTCTCCCAAGTGAGAGACGCCGCCCCAGAGAAGCTGTTCGCTTTTTTTCAGGCTGCTGTTTGAAGACAGCAGTTGTCAACTTGTCTTTAAGGAAAGGTGTGGGGTTTAGGGTTTGCCAGTGAAGCAAGTATGAGAGATTAGGGCTGCCGAGGATAGAGTTTTGGGGACATCGCTCGAAGAGGCTTTAGGGACTATACGTTGTGTTCTTGGGGTTAGATAGCTCTTAGATTGCAATCCAACGCACAAGGAAAGGTCTTCTCGGGGGATTGGGTTTATAGTCGGAAGCTAGGGATTAACGCTAGGGTTTAGCCCCCTACAAAGAGGGGGTTCGAGTCTTGGTGGCCTGGCGCCGGCTGTAGGCAGGACCAGTGCCGACAGCGCTACACTTCTGCAACCCAGCTACACGTATGCCGGAAGCCGGCTTCAGTCGTTCTGCTGTTGCTGCTACTACTGTCGCTGGTGGTGCTGCTGCAACGCGTGGCTAGTTCCATGCAAACAATTCTACTAGCAGGACAACTGGAGTCTGCTACCTTTTCGTTTTTAAAACGTTGACAAATGCTACAGCCTGGGATGGCGGTGCTGCTGCTGCTGCTGCTGCTGCAGTCCCCAAACAGCACCGGCAGTCCTTCTCACTGAAGATGACTGTGGGGAAGACTGTTTAGCGCTTGTGGCTTCTAGGCAGCTGTTGACTGTTCCCTATCAAGCTGCTGCGCCAGGGGCCCAGCACGTAGTGTGCCCTGTACAGAAACTCTGCTGTCGGAAACTGTTTCTTACTGCCTTCCCCTGTGTCTGCTCCATCTTCTCCCTGTGTCCCTACCGTCATCTCCTCTGGACCCATAAGACCCCCTCCTGACAATGAACCCTTCGGAGTTTCTTCAGGGGAACCCGCCTGGGGGACATCAGCCAGTGCCTCCGCTGTGGCCCCAAGTTGGTCCGGAGGCCCCTCTTTGGGGGCCTGGAAGGCGTAGTCGGGGGTGACTGTAGGTTCTCCGAAAAAGGCATGCAAGAATGTCTCCTCTTTCTGCATGGGGCGTTTGCTGCTGGTGGGTATTGCATTGGCCACGTGTGTGAGCTGCTGCAGGTCTGCTTGCTGCAGCTCTTGCACAAGCAGCAGCAGGGATTCGGCCTTTGCTGCGTCTGTCTCGGCGTCTTCTGTCCAGGAGGCCCACCGTTGCGAATCCTCATCAGCAGGTAGTCCCTCAGAACCCAGCGAAAAGGAGGGGCCCCCCTCAGGGCCCCCATCGCCGATTGCCTGCAGCAACTCCTCTATTAGCTGTGCCTCCCCGTTGGCGCCTGCAGCCACTCCCACACCTTTGTTCTTTAGCATGCGATACGTTAGCAGCATCCGCTCGTATGGGAGCAGCTGACGGCCCAAGAGGTACTCACAGTCCGTTTCTGCCTCCAGTAAACTGCTGTCTTCTTCACTCCATGTAGCCCCAACAACCGCTCCTGCCGCTGCTGCGGGGGCGCCAGCGACTTCCCCCTCCACCTTCGCCCCTCCGCTCCCTTCAGCTGCAGCTACAGCAGTTACATCAGTGGCAACAGATACCGCCACAGCAGCAGCTGCAGGGCCCCTCACCCCAACACCCCTCGGAGCAGCACTGACGGCCACTGGAGTGCGGAAAGGAGCACCCGTGTACACAGCCGGCATCTGCCTGCTTCCCACGCATGAAGCCAGGCCATTGCCCCCAGGAAGCTCCGCATTCAAGCGCTGATGCCCGCTCAGGGGTCCGCTGATGCTGAAGCCCTCCCTCAGAGGCAGCGGGCATAGGCGCGCTGCTGCCGACTCCCAGCCCCGCCTTGCTGCTGCTGCCGGTCGTTTCTGCTGCAGCATATCCGCCAGATGCAACCGTTGCTGCGTCTGTTGCATTTCCACAGAGAGAGTGCGCGAGAGACAGTGGAGGTCCTGCAGCAGTGACCCGTGGCATAGATTTGGTGCTGCAGCGCCTGCAGCAGCAGCAGCTGCATACGCCGCCTCCGCCTGCTGCAGGAGCTCCTCTGCTGTGCGTCTCCGCCGTCCCCCACGCTGAAGACAAAAGAAAGGATCAACCGTTCTGCAGGGCAAACTCCTCCTCCGTCTACTGCTGCTAAATCGCTCTACTGCTTCCGATAGCTCAGATGCAGCAGACATTGCTGCTGCTACTGCAGCTGCTTCAGGTGCTGCTGTTCCAGCTGCTGCTGCAGGCTCGCCTGCTGGGCCCCCCCTTTCTCCTGTGGTACCCGGAGAGAACGCAGCCGAGCTCTCCCCGGCAGTTGCTGCAGCTGCTGCAACTGCTGCAGCTGACGATGCACTGGAAGGCCCTACAAGACCCACCGTTGAGGGCAGGGAAGCCCGACGGCGTGCAGGTCGCGCCCGGCGCAGCAGACGCCTCCAGAAATCTAACGGTTGTTGCTGCTGCTGCTGTGTTGTCCCCGGTGTCGTGCATGATGGGGTGAAAGTGGGCAGCGGCAGGCGCAAGATAGCTGGAATACGCTTGCTTGGCGCCTTGGCTGCTGCTTCTTGCTGCTGCAACTGCCGCTGCAGCTGAAATGACCTTTCTTTGATGAGAGTTCCTCTTGCCCGCGTCGCAGAAGCCGAACGGATCAGTCGCGCAGTAAGGGCATTTAAATGCAACTGCTGCTTCTCAAGGCGAGCGAGCTTCTGTCGATACACCACAAGCAGACGCTGCTCTCCTCCCAAGCACAGACGGCTAAACAAAGCAGCCATTTCCCCCACCAGCTGCTGCCGCGAACGGGAAGATGCAGACCCTGCGCTCGAGGGGCCTCCGTGTGGCCCCTCCTGGGGGGAACAAGGAAACCCACGCGCAGGTGCCCTCTCTATCCGCGGCATTCCAGCGCTCGTCTCCCCTCCGCGCGAACTGCTTGGCTTGGGAGGCCTTTGCCACTGTTTGAGGGTGTCAAGAGCCTCGTGCCTCCGTCGCAGGTCGTAGGTGTCTTGGTTGCGCTGCTTTTGGTGGAAGGCATCGAGGTAACTGACAGCCGCCATATGAGCATTAGGGCTCAAGACCGTTGACTGGCTGCGCTGTAGAGGCAGCCCATGGACTTCTGAACTGCTACCGGAAGACCGAAATGTAGCACACCTGACAAAGGACTCGTGGGGAACAAGAGAAGACTCCGCTCCAGGCCCCACAGCGCCCTCCGAAACGCAGCCCGCAGCAGCAATCGAACTTTCCCCTGCAGAGTTGGCAGGCCGCGCTAGGGTTCCCCCCTCACAAGGCACGCTCTGCACACCCTTGACAGGATGCGGCTGCTGCTGGGGGCTGTCATTGTCAAATTCATTCAAATCGGAGCGCTTGAGATTTGCTATCACTGCTGCGTCCGTAGGGGCCCCAGCAAGGTCTTGAGTTGCGTCCATAGACATCATGGACGCCTTCCAGAGTTTCAAAAATCAGAAATTTTGCAGAGGTTTCCTCATGAACTCTCCGCCCCATTCACGTTGCTGTAACGGGGCTGCATTGCGGGTTCTGGCTGGCTGAGAAGCCGCCTCGATTGAGTTGTTATTCTTTTTCGATCTCTTCCATTTGAAAACATGCAAATTACTGCCTCTCCGCAGCTTCTCAAATCGGACTCGGAGTGCATGCGCTGCGACGACAAACTGCAGGTGTCGAAGGGTCTAACCGCAGAATGCTGCGAGTTCGTTAGCCGTTTCTCTCCTCGCCGCTATTTAGTGTGCGTTTAGATGTTAATAAAATCCAGAGGAAAACGAACTAACGCAAGAAAAACCGTAGGTATTCACGGCTCACGCCCACAAAGCCACAGCGGTTCAGTCCGGGCACCGTCGTCGTCTGTTGCAGACCCCCTGGTGATTTAGTTAAGGCACTGGCTGTTCTTCAATTTTCACTTCAAGGGACTTATCTAGTTTTAGCTGCCTGCTTGACACCTTCTGCTTTATTCCAGTGGATCACAGGAGGCAGTTCGCTGGGAGCTGGGAAGGTTATACCACAGGCGACAGCTGCAGGCAGCGCAGTTAAACCCTTGGCTGAACACGAGGTGACAAACAGAATGCAAGTGTGATTGAAACTATTCTTGTTCCATATATACTGTTTGTGGCGGCAACTGCCTTGCACAGAGATGCTGTCCCCGCTGCTTCTGCCTATGACTTAAGTACAGGGTGTTTCCGTTCGTCCCCGAACGGCGAAGATATTGTAATTTCAACACTTTTTTGCAATATAAACCTCCATAAAAGAGTCTAAAGAACAATCTGTACACGCGGAGTGCTGGGCTTTCTCTTAATGCCCTCCCAGCCTGTTTGGAGCGATTCAATTGGCTCTTAACTACAGCCCCCCTCATTGTCCATCCGTATACTTATATCTGCTTGGCGCGGATTGAGAACAAGGAGTCAGTCGGCATTGTGCGGCATTGTTCGCTTTCAGTATCGCTAGCGCAGTAACAACTACTCCGAATCCTACTGCGTTAGTGTAGGCGGCAACAAGTCTTGCTCAACAGACATTTTCAGACCTTTCCAGTTTTTCAAGCCAGAAGAATTCAAAAGCTTACTCGAAACCAAAGTCTAGAGCTTAATGATGAGGCTTCGTGGAGGAAATAGAATTCACATGACTGTTTATCGCCACGGGCACAAGCTACACCATTGCCAACACTATGTGCTCGATTTATCTATTATTCGATGTTGTCCGAGCAACGCATACTGCAGAAGGGAGGGATAATGGGTATAAAGCACGTCTGAATATGGAGGAACTTAAGTGGCACGCGCTGTCTACAGGTGCGTTGCGTGGTTGATACAACGATTCTCTTCAATCCTGGCTGGACATTGGCATGAAGTAGGCAGGAATTATTAGGCAGCTGCCAAAAGCAGCTGACCAAATCTTCGCTTTTCCGAATCCACAAAGATGATGCAAAAGCCGGCAACTGGTATGCGGAGGAGGGGAGATGCCTTGCCGCGTGTCTCAGCGCACCCTGCTGCTATTCCAACTCAAGTACAGGAGAACCTGGAAACATACGCAGGCCCATTTTTGCTTCGTACCCTTAAACTGTCCAGAAATTCCCAGCACACTTTTTGGCTCTATATGGCCATCATGCGGGCAAATACAAATGCATGTGTGAACTACAGACAGACTACATTGCATTTAACATCCGCCGCCCTTCCCCCTTCTCTACGCACAGCCCATATTCCTGGGTTCCCAACTACAGATAGGTACACAGACGAAAAGAGATAAAACTGAGAAAGATTCCAAAATACTGAATATACAAAAGTTGAAGGGAAATGGTAGCACAAAAACGGAGACCGACATGCAATGCTTCTGCTTGTTCTGCGACTGCAGCTGATACAACCCTGCATCTCGCCACAGCCAGTTGGCAAACTTTCCTGCTGAAATTTAACGCAATTTACACGTTCATCCTTGGACCGCTAATGGTCCCCACCCACGGGGAAGGTGAATATCAAGTGAGCACGGCAAAAAGTGTCATGTTGACAGTTCAAACCCCTTGGACTGAATTCACTATATCTGTCCAGGTTCTCATTGGCCTGCGTAGGCTGCTTTCCCAATGGCAGTGTAAGCTAGTTTGAACTGTAAGGTGAAGTTTCTGGTTTAGGGGTAAATAAGCAAGGAACTTTAAAATGATGACCAAAAGTCAACCAAGAAGGGGACTGTCCAACAAGAAAAGAAATTCTCCAGATGCTTTTGGGCCAGCGAATGTTGCCGGGTGCCCCAACCTGCCTCATTCAACTAGCATATGTTTGACTTCTTTGCTCAAAGATACCTGTTGGTATTTTTAGCCTAGTACTTGAGTGCTTACTTCGTTCGTTCCCGAGACCCTTCACTCTGTGTATGGAACTCTGCTGCTGGGCGCTTGCGCAGCTGGATGCAATCAACCAACTTTAACTGCATATCAGCTGTAGGTGTTTGGCTGCATACCAGGGAAACCGGATAAATACGAGTTGAAGAGTGCACTGTTGAATAACGAGCATATTCACATCAAGGAAAACTATCGGAAGGGTTGTTCTTGGTATACAGTTGCGAATGGGGCTCAACCATGCGGCTGGTGCATTTGGTGGGACTGTGCGTTTCCGTGCTTAGCGATAGCCCCTCTATTCTTGCCATTAAACATTTTTATCAATATGCCGTAGAAGGCACTGGAAACCTTCTGCTTCCTGTCGGTAATAAGGTGCTTCGGAAAGATGTAATAAACGGATATTTGGGTCACTACCTCTGATTTCGCTGAGCTCGAACAGAACCCTGGCTGTGGTGCCAATGAGCTCGAACAGAGCATATGTGCGCCAGTTAGCGGCGTTCGCAACGACATAAACACTATCGCAGCCTATGTTGCGGTTGTTTGCTGCCTCGTTGGGTAGGCGAATCTTCAGCTGCTTCCAATGAAGAAATTGCATTTCTTTTCGTTGTTTGGCGTGTCAGACACAAATATACAAAATCTGAGCGTGCTTGTGTTGGTCTATATTAACACGTCTGGCCAGGGCAAAGCATGTTCGATGCTGCGCTGCCACTCCGCTGAACGGCTGTAGCACAAAACAAGGAACACGAGATGTATGCGTACACCGTCATGTAGTGAAGCAATCTATGGTGGCCACTCACCCTCGTAGGACTTTAAGTTTGGGTGTTTACCAGAAATGCCTAGGTATCTGCAGCGCTACATACAGTAAGGTACATACAGAGCTGCGCACGCGCGTCCTGTAAAGACACAGAACGTCAAAGAGCAGACATACCATTGGAATCAGAGGGAGGCAGCAGAAGTACCCACGTGCACAGAGACAGATCCAGCGGTACACACAAGGCCCAAGGGCAAGACGGCAAAACAACAGAGAGGCAGACGGATAGCCACATATATACACACCATTTGAAAGGCACCAACAAAAAGGCACACACGGACAGATAAACAGAGACGGGGACGGACAGAGGGATGAAGTGACAAACAGTCATGAGCTCAAGATAATACAATGAGTAACTGAGGACCGCGCTGAGTTTCGTAGCATTGTTTCACTATTGCTGAAGAGGCTGGAACTTAGGGAAGCAGGGATATCAAGAAGTGTTGTTGCTGGTGAAGTTGCAGCGGTTGCTGCAACAGCACCTGTGTGCATAGTGGCTGCAGTTTTACACGGGTGGGAAACGCATTTTCAAGTATTCCGGGGAATTAGATGTTAAAAACAAAGTATTTGAGGACATCTGCCTGGTTCCATAATGCCTTTTGTTTGTGCCTTTGCTGTAAAATTCATTATTGAAAGGCTTTTTATTCATGCGCTCAGTTCAACTTCCTTAGCGATCGCTGTAGGCGAAGCGGGTCATAGATAGCTGTTTGAGTTGCTGTTTCCTGGATGCAGTAGGGATGCATAAAAGTGTAACTGCCTAAAAACAATGAAACTAATTATGAAGACAGTAAAATACAAACGTAAAATCCACAACGCAAGGAAAGGCGCCGCGTCGAGCCTGCGGACTGCGGCGCTTTTCTGCAGCCGACCGCTGGCCTGCCCAGTGTAGGCTGCGTTCATCTTCGAGGGAAAACTTGCAGCTCTCGTTTTTATTGTTCAAGATTCCGGTAAATATAGTTTAAAACATCAATAATGAAGTAAAGGGAGGCTTATGTTGGTTAGCTTAACATAGTTTCTCCTACCCCAGCAACACGCACGGCGGTGTTGACCGCCCGCCCGCTGAGGTCTGCCGAGCGTCGGAGGGCCTCAGTTTTCGGCTGGTCGCTGCGTGCCACTGCTTGCATTATATTTTCTTTTTTTCTCTTTTACACATATCTTTTGGCCTCACTGATTTGTTTTGAACCTGAAATCCGCTTCAGTAGGCGCATGATCACAACGCGCGGTTCCCACTCGCGCAGCCGACGAGGCATGGTGGAAAGAAATTACAGGGGACAAACGCAACACAAGCAGCAACAACGGCAACGACGAAGCATTCGCTTATGTCTTTATGGGCATATACGCCTCGCCACTTACCCTTTAATCATCAAGACAGCAAGACCCGTCGGGGAAACTTTTGGCCGAAGCTTAGAACCGTCAAGCCTTCTGTCGACACAGCACAACAGAGGTGCGTGTAAGTACACCTGAGACCTTTACCGTAAGACCTAGTTTCAGCTTTTTTCTTAATGCTGGAGTCTAAATGCAAAAGGCAGCCGCTCCAGGGCCCACTCCAGGGGCAGAGCAAACAGGAACAGCTGCACAGGCTCTAGGCCTTCCCTTGTTTTAAGTACCCTTTTACAGGCCCTTTCTGTTTGGCTCAATAGATTCCAAACTAAGAAAGCACACAATACTGAAGCAAACTTGGATGTGTTCTGCTGAAGACTCAATTTCAGCGCCTGGTTCTTTCTGATCGGCAACAGGGAAACGCCAACGCCACAGGACGCCACAGCGAGTTTGCTGCACCTGCTGCATTTGCTGCACTTGCTGCAGTTGTTGCAGTGGCTGTTGCAGCTTCGTCCGAAATGAACCGAGGCCACGTCGGGGGCCCCCACGGCAACTTGGGGGCCCCACAGGGGCCCCTTCCTTTTAGCGGCATGGCGCTGCCGAATATGCCCCTGCCCATTCCTGTAGGGTTGCTTAACGGGGGAGTGCCTTACCAACAGCAGCACCAGCCTTACAAGCGACAGCAGACCAAGCAGCATTATCGGCAGCAGCACGTTCTAGGAGCTGCTGCTTCCGGTTTTGTGGCGGGGAGCTTTCCAGTGTGTGCCTGGGACACAAACGGCCAGCCTATTCTCTTGAGAAGGCCGCATGAGGCGGTGGGGAGCCGTTTCCAGCAGCAGCAACAGCAACATCAGCAGCAACAGCAGCAGCAACAACAACAAAATCAGCAGCAGCAGCAGGGAGTGGTGTTTCACGCAGACCGAGTCTCCAAGCAGGTTGGACCCAGTCATTTCGAAACTGTTGGCTGCTGGGGGCCTCCGTGTCTTCCTCAAGGGTCCCCCCTAGTGCCTCACAAGCTTCTGGGCTCAAGGGGACAGCCTGCTGCTTGTCTGCTTAGGACAACTCCAAATAATCTGCAGCAGCAGCAGCAAATCATGCAAAATGGAATGGGGCAGCAGCCACTCTTCGGTGGCCTTCGTTCTCCTGTTGGAATTTACAGCTGCCTCTCCTCTCCTGAAGTCATGTGGAAGGGCGGAGACAGAGTGCTGCACCAGCAGCAGCTTCTGCAACAGCAGCAGCAGCTGCTGCAGCGACAACAACAGACACTTCAGCAGCACCAGGTGCTGCAGCAGCAGCAACAAATGCTGAGAAGGCACCAAGCGTTGCAGCGTCAGCAGGTGCTGCAGCAGCAGGACGCCTCACTTCAGGCCCAGGCAGTAACCAATGAATTCCAGATGCCCCTTAAGGATGCGTCCTCATCTCCATCAGCTACAGGGACAGCAAAAGCTGAGCTGCAGCGACAGCAGCAGAGCCGCTCCTCTAAGCTCTTGTGTCGGTTAGAAAGCGAACGCTCAGATCCCCGTTGGGCCCCGGAAGGCCCCGCCTGCGACGCAGAAGCACTGAGTGGGGAAACAGCAGCAGCAACAGCACAAGCTTCGGCTGCTGCTAGTTGTGCTGCAACACCTTCTGTCTCCGCTGCAGCCAAAAGACAGAATCCCCAGAATCTGTGGCAGGCGAAGGAGACAGATATTCGCTTTTTGTCCAGTGCCTGCATGGGCCCGTCACCTCCAAGCCGGTCATCCCAAGGGGGCCCTCCGAGGGCCCCAAGCGGCTTCGGGGCCCCCCCTATGGGGGCCCCTCTACGAACCTCTTTTGGGGCTGCTGCTGGGGTCGGCTGGAGCCGCGCTTCTACTGGATCGAGTCTGCTAAGGGGACGGCGGACTGTGGGGAGGAGCAGGGAGGAGTTTGGGGCAGAAGGAGACAGTGGATGCCGTTACTTGTCTGTAACAGGTACCACAGCCGAAAAGGAGATAGAGAGGAGACACAGTGGCTGCTTGAGGGGGGCCCCGCCTGGGGGGCAAGAGACCCTCGCATGCAGCATCAACAGCAGGGATATATCCTTCGTCTCCACAGCCGCCATGTCGACGCGCGACAGCAGCGACAGAGACGAGACAGCTGCACAGGAAGCTGCTCCCATTGCCGTTGCTGCTGGCGCTGCTCTTGCTGCCCCCGCTGATGCAGAACTGCATGCAGAAACCACAGCGAATGCTGTGGAGGTACATTCGAAGACAGCGACAGAGACAGAGAGGAACGAAAAGGACGCTGTACTGCCACCCTTAAGGGACGTAGAGGTAGCTAATAGTACTGAAGACCCTGAAGAAGAGACACTCGAGGGACAATGTGCATCAGAGGAGCAAACAGAGCCAGAGACACAAAATGGGACAGAAGAGAGATACGTGAAGGTGTTGGTCCCCAGATACGTGCAGTGGAGAGAGAAGAAGCAGCAGCAGCAACGGCAGCACCTATTACAAAGCGTTGCTGCTGATGACGAAGAATGTTTGTGGCCCCCTGCAGCAGCAGCAGATGCAGATCATGGGGATGGGACAGAGGAGGATGAGGAAGGGGGAGAGGAGCTAGAAGAAGACTGTCTATGGTCGGAAGACTTAGTAATAGATACCTCAGCAGACGGCCTCCTAAGAGACGTCGTTGTTAATACAAAACAGTGCAGAGCAGAGAGACCCCTCATCAACACATGTGTAGAAAGACTTGGCTGGACCCGTGATGACCAAACTACGAACAAAGGTTAGACATTAACTGCAGCAGCAGCAGCAGCAGCAGCAGCAGCAGCAGCAGCAGCGGGAGCAGCGGGGGAGGGAAAAGGGAGAGCAATATCCATCAGCAGCACATGAATATAGGATCTTCTAGCTTCCTAATATGGGGTTTGTTGGTGTGCCTTCTTAAGGGTGTATAGCGTGACGTGTGTATGCTGTATGCTGCGGTGTACGTACACCTCAGGTAACATTATATGGTTGGGGGGTTCTGTGCCGGATTACGATCATCTTTTATTTGTACGATCTGCACAAATAGTTAATCGCTTTCCTGGTATGTGGGATATGACGAAGAAAAGAATGCTCTCTAAGGTTCTTCTTCTCTATCAAGATCTTTTCCCCCACCTTTACGACTTCTCACCTCCTTGCTGGTCCTTCCCAGAGGACAGAGGTCAGATGCAGTTCCTGCTGCTGTTGTTGTTGTTGGTGTTGCCTGCTTTTCCTGCTGTTGTTGCCTGCTGTTGCCGCTGCTGGTGCTGTTACAGGATGTGGTTGCTGCTGGTGGTGTCTGCCTGCTGCTGCTTTTGGTTGTGTTTTTGTAGCCCCGTTGTTTGCATTATTGTTTTGCCTCAAGTGTAGTTATATTTGTCTTTTTTGCTGCTGTGGGGTTGTTGCTGCTTGCTGCTGCAGCACGCATAGAAGAGGTCCTGCAGAGCTCGAAGCCAGAGACCTTCATCATTAAGCCAGATGGGGGGGCAATGGGTAGTGGCGTGCAGCTAGTGTCTCGATTAAAGGATGTAGATAGAGTCATTTGGAGGGGAGAAGGCAGCTATGTTATGCAAAAATATATCAGCCATCCCCGCCTCCTCAATAAACGCAAATTCGACCTCCGTGTCTACGCCGCCGTCTTTGCTGTCGCGGGCACCCTAAAGGTACATATCCACATGTAGAGCATGCATGCATGCATGCGTGCATGCGTGTAGCCCCAAAGCGTTAGTCTAATGTAGATTTGGTAATCTTGGTGGGCATACATTTGCATGAGTGCATGTATCCAAGCAGGTGTAATGCATGCAGATTGATGAAGTGCATGCGTTCAGCTGTAGAAGGTCGATGCACCCACAGAAATGAAGTGCATGCATGCGTCGTGTTTTGGGGCTTTTAATTCTTCTCAGGTATTTGTATCGCGAGTGGGGATGGCTCGCTTCTGCACTGACGAGTACAAGGCGCCAACCAGACGTAACCAAGATAATGCCTTTATGCATTTAACAAACTATTCTATTAATAAAGAAAATAAAGATCTTTTTATCCGATCCCCAGATATACACAGCACATCCAACAGCAAACGACTCCTTTCTGATGTATTCAAAGACCTCAAGGCAGAAGGCAAGAAGCTGCTGACGCTGCGGCTGCTGACTGCTTGGAGCGTTTGCTGCTGCTTGTGCCCTCGTTGCTATTGTTGTTGTTGTTGCTGCTGCTCTTGTCGACCTTCTGTGGTGTACAGAAGCGTTTCGTTGCCTGTCTGAGCATTGCTGTTATCATTTGCTGCTGCTGTTTGTCTGTCTTGCCGTATGTTGCTGTTGCTGCTGCTGACTGCTGTGGCTTTCTCTGCATGTGTCTGCATGCAGGCGTGGACGTGGACAAGGTATGGAAGAGCATAAAGGAAATAACGGCAAAGACATTTGTGTGCCTGCAGCCGTGGCTTGAGCTGCGCTACCGCCATGTCTATCAAGGGGAGCAGCAGCAGCAAGTCTCCCGCTGCTTCCAATTCTTAGGGCTTGATATTCTCTTAGATTCAGATGACAAGTGTTGGCTCCTCGAGGTCAATTCTAATCCTTCCCTCCGCGTCGACTACTTTGACTGCCAGGTGACATTCTAGGGTTTAGGGTTTAGGGTTAAGAGGGTTAAGAGGGTTAGGAGGGTTGATAAGGGTTTGGGGTTGAGGTACGCAAAGACTAGTGTCTATGGTAGATAGTAGGGTCTAGTAGGGTGTACGATTTATGGTTCAATTTATCGGCATGCTCTCCTATTGCGCCTTTGCTGCTGCAGCACGATGGCATAGACTTGCAGCTAGAGAGTGCCACAGACAGAGCCATTAAGGAACCCGTGCTTAGCGAGGCCCTCGCAATAGCTAGCAAGCTGTTGCTCCCCCCAGATAAGAAAAAGCAAAAACGGAACAAAACAGAAGACAACGCACAGCAGACAGCAACAGCAGCAACAGCAGCAGGAAAAGGCACTGCCAAACGGGGGACGGTTCTGCAGCCCTCTGCATCACACAAGTCTGCTAAAGGGAAGCGCCGCGGTGTACCTGCAGCTGAGCAAAAAGCCAAAGACACTCTTCTCGTAAATCCTAGCCGGGCGTACGTACCGTCCAGTGGCCTGGTACAAGGAAGCAACGCCTCTGCACAAGAAAACCAGCACGCTCGCGCCCCACAAACGCATTCTGCAGTACGTCATAGTGCTGCTGCTACTTCCGCTCATGTTGCTGTTGTTGCTGCTGCTGCAGCAAGCTACTAAAACTGCGCATGCAGCGAAGGTGTGCATAGGTGCAACTTTATAAGATGCCTCTCGATTCTGTGGTCATATTGTCTGTCTCCTTGAATGTCTTGCGTTTCTCCTCGTAGCTTCTTTTGTGTCGCCTTGCTGCATTCATGTGCTGTCTGTGTGTTGTCTCCTTTCCTCCTCTGCAGCCGCCTCTACCCATCAAAGACTTGCCAACAGGGGTGACCTCCAGGGGCCTCCAGCGCTCTGCCGTAGCAGCAGCTGTGCTGGGACCGGCAGGACCATCTCCGCTGCGACGCTGCGCTTCCTTAGCGGAGACTCGCCGTTTGCCAGGAGACAAGAGGGGTCTCTGCAGGTCTTTAAGCACAGAGAATGTAGCAGCTAAGTCATCAGCAACAAGGGACAGTTCCCTTAACACAACGACCCCACCGCCTGCTGCAGGAGCTGCAGCAAAGGGCAGCGGGGCCAACAAGGCCCAACCCCCATTAGGAATGCCCAGAACTGCCTTAACAGCAGCCGCAGTAGCAGCAGCAGCTGCTGCTGCTGCAGCAGAGAACGGAACTTCCACAAAGGGCGCTGTGGGGTCTAGCAGAGCTAATCGAACTGCTGCTCGTCGTCAAAAGGGCGCCCTTGATGCAACCTCACAGAGATCTGCTGCAGGGGACAGCTCCGACTCTGAAGGAGACCAAAGGGGCCCCCTAGCAGCAGACAAGCAGCTGATGGAGGCCGCTTACCACGAGATGGAGAAGTGTTTAGAGTGTTTTAATGTGTTAGGTCTGCGTGTACAGCGCAGTACATTCTTGTCTCCGAACCAGCAGCAAGGCAGCAGCAGCAGGGCTGCTGCCGCCGAGCAGCGGGAACGAGACGCAGCTAAAGACAAGATGCATGCAGTCGGGGGCCCCTACGACCACCGCAGCGCCTCCTTGCAGCGCCGTCAAGGGCCTTTTAGACCTTTCTTAAGGAAAGATAAGCTGCTACCAAGGAAGGGAGCTACTCTTGTAAAATCTACCTATACAAAACTTCATAAGGTACTTAATGGAGACACAACGCCTCCTTGTTTGTCTCCTCTCTCCCTGTCTCCTGTCTCCTTCCTACCCTGCATCCTTGTTTGTCTGTTGCCTCCCTCTTCTGTCGCTCCTCTGTTACTGCGTATCTTTGTTGCTGCCGGCTGAAGCAACTGCCTCTTTGCCTCCTTCTCTGTGCTGGTGCCTCAGGACATCCTGCGGCCGTTCCCCGCTAAGCAGCTGCAGCCTCAGGGTTGCTGGTTAGACCTTCATGAGGAGACAGTAGCATTCGCTGCGGAGACAGAACTTTTTCGTAGAGTTCAATTCCTATTTGAAAGATTAGTTGGATTCCCTCAAAAAATTTGGTTAGAGAGAAGCAGATGGACAGAAGTCTGTGACCAAATCAAAGTTGGAGACCTCTTACGAAGGGTAAACCCTAAACCCTAAACCCTAAACCCTAAACCCTAATAACTAAACCTTCATACACCACGTTCTTTAACACAATTCTTCCCATGCTGGTTCCAATGAGCAGGCACCACAGCAACAGCAACGGCAACTACTGCAGCAAAATCCGGCTAGGGAAGTCGCAGCAACAGCAGCAGTAGCAGCCATAAGCGTGCTTTTACACTGTTTACTCTGTGCATGCGGTCTCAGGTGTACATACCTGCTGCACCATCTCCATCCCGGATCTCGCAGGGGCTGACGCCGCAGCCGCCCTTTACCTCCTTCCGTCCCTCTCCTCCCCCTCCTCTAATATCAGGACCAACAGCAGCAGGAGCCAGCGCTCCTAGGAAGCTGACAAGGTCTGTTTCTGTCTCTCGCAGCGCGAGTGCTACTTCGTTGTTGCTGATGCAGGAGGCCCCTAGGGGGGCCACCTGTGCCAGTCGTCGTGCTGCTCTTTGTCTTGGCAAGAGTGGCAGCAGCAACAACAGCAATCTCTGCTCATTAGCAGGACTTGGCAGGAGGAGACGCATGACAGTATCTGATCTAGATTCTCTATTCTTGCAGCAGCTGCAGCAAATGAGGAGACAGACGCAGCTGCAAGACAGCCGCAGGGGCCTCGGTCTCCTTGAATTCGCTCAGCTGTTGAGAGTGCTGGCGCTGCTGTTGTTCCCGTTTTTACCCCCCAAGGCATCGCTACTTGCCGCGCTGCTCTCAGAAGCAAGTGCACTGCAGCAGCAGCAGCCGCAGCAAGTCGTCATGAAAGTCGTGGGTGCGCTGGAGCAGGAGCAGCAACAGCTCCTCTCCCCACGGCAACAGCAGCAACAAAAACGTGCCCCTAACCAAACACAAGACACAACACAAAACAAAGCAGCAGCAGCAACAGAAGCAGCAGCGACGACTGAGAATGTAGGTGGTGCTGCTCAAGAAGAGCGCCTCCGAAGCAGCAGCAGCAGCAGCAGTGCAGCTACCCAGGCTACCCCTTCATACGACTTAGAAAAGCAGAGATCGCAAGGTACTTCGGAAGGGGCTAGTGGAGTGTCTCCTCAGGAGATGCAAACGCAACAGCAACAGCAGCAGCAGCAGCAGCAGCAGCAGCAGCAGCAGCAGCAGAGACAGAATGACCATCAGCCAGTTCTTTTGGGGGCCTCAGCCAGGCCCCTGACAGTAGCAGAGGAGACAGCTGCTGCTCTATCAAGAAAGATAGCAGAGGAAGCGGCACAGCTAGAGGTGCTGCAGGAGAATAAGAGACACTTGGAGAGGCACCTGCAGCAGCTGCGGGACATGAGGCAACAACAAGCCTCGCGGGAGGCCTCTCTGGTGCAGCAGCGAGACGCCGCCGCCACAGCAGCAGCAGCAGCTACCAGTAATGCAACAGACAAGGAACAGCAGACAGTCCTCAGCATCGCCCGCGCAGAGGAAATCTTCGGGCAGACCTATGAAGGCACAGGCGGTGCGCCGAATCGAGCAGCAACAGCAACAGCAGCAGCAGCTGCTGCTGCTGCAGAGCTCTCAGGCCTCAATAAAGAAATAAACGCATGCGATACCCGCACACAAAGCGCAGCTGAGGAACTAACAAAGACACTGCAGCTCTACGAGGCTGTTGCCAACAGACACCGACAACATACAGAGGAACTCACTCGCATTCGCATGCAGCAGCAATGGCAGCATATGCAGCAACAACAGGAGCAAATGAAGCAGCAGCAAATGCAGCAGCAAATGCACCAGCAAGCGCAGCACCAGCAAGCGCAGCACCAGCAAGTGCAGCAGCAGCATCCAAGACAGCCCGAAGGCAACGTTGTTGAGGATTCATCGCAGACTTCTCAGAGGGAGCAGCGCTGCAAGGAGCAGGAGAAGAGCTCTGCAGCAGCAACAGCAGCAGTGCCTGCATCTGCTGCAGCAGACCTTCCCAGTCGCGGTGCCGGATATGTACAGGGTGGGATCGACTCTGCTGTAGACGATCCCAAGTGTGTGGGAGAGACAGGAGATAAGAAGGAAAGTCCAGCTGCTACTGCTGCAGCAGCAGCAGCTGCTGCAGCTGCTGCTACATCTACAAAGTATCAAGGAGCAACAGAGAGAACAGCTGCATGGCATGAATCTTTTTGTTCTGCTTGGCCAGATATAAATTCAAAAGTATTTGAATCTGTACCTAAAGAAGTCTTAAAAGAAAGTTTACAACTTCTCGTCGACTTGTTCGAAATTCGTCTCGATTTATATCATTCAAGTACACAATTCACCCAACCTCTTAATAAACACCCCATCTAAATTTTCTTCCTTTCTACCTATATATGAAACCTTATATATATATAA